CTCTCTCTCTCTCTCTCTCTCTATATATATATATATATATATATGAATGAATGAATGAAGAGTAGTGTAATGCTCTTCCTAAGCTTTCACAGGTATGATACCACCATCTTCCTGCCCTCTTCTTCCCACATTTAACTCCATCTAACTTCAAGGAAGGGAATACTGAGCTCTTTAGCTCTATGGCACTGGACTTCAAAACCTTTCTAGATCATGGTTGTTTCCTCATAGCTCAAGTTCTCCTTTTCTGTGTCTTCTATTCTTTCATATGACTCTGTGCTTTTTTAAAAATGTGACCATGTTCAAATCAGTGGTACACTGTAGTTGATTTTCTTCCAGTTTCTGCTTCCATTTTCCCTTTTTTGGTGGGGTGGGGGGCTTTTTAAAATTTTGCCAGAGGGCCTGTGTGCTTACCAGAAAGAGGGTAAGTAAAAAGGTACCTCCCTCCCTGCTTTCCATGGGATATGGTCATGCCAAAATCTCTCCTCCTTTTCTCCCTCTGTTCAGGATTTTGGGCATGCACACACATGTGCCCAGTGTGTTTCTCAAGCTGCTGAGTTTGGGACTTGAACCAAGCAGTCTGCCATCTGGGATACAGGCACTTGGTTTATATGTTATTGTATTTTGTATTTTTATTATTAGTAGTAATATATAAATACTATTTTATACTTCTTTTACTTTCAGATTGTATGTTTACCAGACTTTGGGCTATTTAAATTAGTAAGAAAAAAACATGATAAAGGACTTGGTCTTTCTTTCCCTTAAATAAATATTCATCTGTTGAAAAAGCCTTATGGAGGGACCAGCAGTTAGCATAATGGCTATGTTGCTGGACTCCCACGTAGTTGACCACAATTCGAGTCCTGGACCTGGTGGCTTAAACTCATGCCAGGTGTGTGTGGGTGCGTGCACAAGATCCTGAGAGGAGAATGGAGGATAAGGGATTGTAACATGGCCATTTTGCTAGGGGGTGATTTTCTACTTCCTATCTCTCAGTCTCTCTGTCTTTCTGGTGAGCACAAGTGCCCTATAGCAAAACAAATGGACAAACAAACAAAATCCTCTTAAAAAAAAAAAAGCATTCTGGGGTCAGCAGGTGGCATGGTGGTTAAGGCACTGGACTTGTACATGGCTGACTGTGGTTCAGTCCTGTATCTGGTTGCTCAAAAATCACACCAGGTGTGTGTACATACATGCATGTATATGCCCCCAAATCTCTAGAGGATAATGGAGGAGAAGGGATTGTGGCATGGCCATCCTCCATTGGGAAGGGGGACAGGTAATTCATCACTTTTCTTTCTCTGTCTCTTTCCAGCAAGAGCATGTGCCCTATGGTGGGTTAAAAAAAAATAAATAAATAAGCATTGTTTTTTTTTTTTCATTGTTGTTGTTGTTTTTTAATTGGGTAACCTCAAAATTTTTGTTATACTACAGAGATTCCAATGAGCAAATAATTTATTTAGGTAAATTTAAAAATTATCACAGTATGAGTCTAAAATTTTTACTCTTACTTTTTTACTTCTCCATGTCTTTTTTTTAAAGCACTGCTTTAGTACGTAGAATTTGTTTCTCTGTGTCTTCATGTGTGAGGTTATTTTTAACCATATTTTTAAAATTTAAATGCGTTCTAGAGCTTCATACCAGCTGACGTGATAAGTACTCTGAGGCTGTGACGTTAGCTCTGGAAATACATAATTAGGGCAAACAAATGCCAAATGCTATTTAAAGTAAACTTTTATGATAGATTAAATTATTTAAAAAAAAAAAAACACAGTTCATGTATTTATTTCTTCTGTGAGCAAGAGAGGGAAAAAAAATAGTTCCCCCAGTGGGGTCTTGTTGCCATCGTCCACCACAGCTTTAGGCAGTTGGGGACCGTGGGCACACATGTGGCTGGTGTACACAGGGAGGGATGTGAACGCAAAACCTTCCCTGTGTGTCAGCCTCATGTTTTACCACTGCCATGGCCTCAGTAGTTTATGCTTTTGCAGCTAGCTCTGAACCATAATGACTTTCTTGATGGTAAAGTATGCCAAAAATGGTTTATTTTTTTATTTATTGGTAGATGTGCAGTTCATTTCTCCACATTTGATCTTCTCTGCTCATGGTAAAGAAATTTCTAAAAGTTTTATCATAAGGATTACTGCTTTGAGCACAAGAACCTTGATTAGGAATACAGATAACCCAGTTTGCTTCGTTAACATTGTTGTATTCTGTCACTTTACGTCCTGCAGCATCTTGTGTAATTATTGCACAGATTAAGAAGTATTGACTAGGGAACCAGCAGTTAGTGTAATGGCTATGTCGCTGGACTCCCATGTAGTCGACCGTGGTTCGCGTCCCGGACCCGGTGGCTTAAAACTCACGTCGGGCACATGTGCGTGTGTGCCCAAGATCCTGAGAGGAGAATGGAGGAGAAGGGATTGTGGCGTGACCATCCCCCCTGGGGGATGATTTCTCGCTTTCTGTCTCTATGTCTCTCTGTCTGTCTGGTGAGTGCATGTGCCCTATAGCGAAAACCTCTCCAAAAAAAAGAAGTATTGACTAAAAAGTGTTTCATGATGTAAAATTCCTAGCTGGTTTGACAGTGGTTGATGGTTTTAAATTCTGTTACTGTGTAGTATTTGTATTTCAGTACTCTAGCTCTACAAAATTGATATTTAATAAATTCCATCTTGTATAAAAAAGACCCTCTTTATAAAAAATAACAAATTTGGGACCAGCAGTTAACGTAATGGCTATGTCGCTGGACTCCCACGTAGTTGACCGCAGTTCGCGTCCCGGACAGGGTGGCTTAAAAACTCACGCCGGGCGCATGTGCGTGCGTGCCCAAGATCCCAAGAGGAGAATGGAGGAGAAGGGATTGCGGCGTGACCATCTCCCCTAGGGGGTGATTTCTCACTTTCTGTCTCTGTCTGTCTGGCAAGAGCACGCGCCCTATAGCAGAAACCTCTAAAAAATAAATAAATAAATAACAAATTGAACATGGTATTAAAAATGTCAATATTAAGTTGTTAAGGCACTGGACTCCCTTGTGGTGAATGGCGGTGTGGGTCCTGGACCCAGTGGCTTGACACTCATACCAGGCGCATGTATTTTTTCTGCCCAAAATCCTGAGAGGAG